CTAAAGAGAGATTTGAGTCCAGCAGCCACATGCCTAGCCTTGGGTGCACATGGAGCTGGAGTTGTGGCCACAGGGAAGGCCATGGGCACGTCACTCCTGGAGGAGACCATGCATGCTCTGAAGTGGAGAGGGAGGTGGGCTCGAATTAGATTAAGGCTGTCCCCTGAGGGAGTTCAGGTCCCCAGAGAGAAATGCACCGCCTCTTGGGGCAGCAGACATGGGAGGGACACCCAGCTCGGTCCCCATCTGTCTAAATAGGGCAGGAGCCAGGCTAGCTGCCCGGGGCGGGGGGCTGGGGAGAGGTGGAGGCAGGAGCCAGAGCACAGCTGCTCCAGCCACAGGTGGGAGCCAGATGGCAGAGGCTGGGGAGCTGGCTCACGTGGCTTCACAGGGCCTGGGGGACAGAGAGGGCCCAGAGTCCGGGTGGCCTGAGACTCACAGTGCTGCTGTAGAGGGGGCTCTCTGGTTACAGATTCAATCATGATGAAGGCCAGCCCCGGAGAGCAGCTGAGGAGGGACAGACTGGCAAAGCCTCCGTGCTGTGGGGTGTGGCCCCCAGACTCTGGCCCCCAAGCAATCTCTGAGAGGCTCTAGGGGTCCTGGCCTCCTTGACTAGAGCATAACTCCCAGGCCAGGGACCAGCCTCAGCATGAGCTTGCTCCTGCCTCTCGGATTGGGGGTCAAGAAAGTCACTCTGATCCATACTGAATGAGGACTCAAATAGCTCCCCGAATCTGGAGGATAGAACCAGAGGAAATGAGCTCCAGCTGCAGCAAGAGGTATTCTAGTTACACACCAGGAAACACTGGTCTGGGGTGCTGAAGAGGGTAGTAGCTATTTCTGGGGAAGAAAAAGCCCACCCTCCCTTCGGTCCCTTGAGAATCTGCCTCACTGGAAAAACATGATGGGGAACCTTTCTATCCTTTATCCACTAGCTCTTTCATCCTGTCTCACCTACATTTTGGTTCCCTCTCTCCTTTCCAGATAATCTCCCTCTTCTGCCTTCTTTGTGTGAGTGGGCCAAACTACCCCCAAAACCACTTGTCCCAGTATTGCTGGGGGCCTTTAAGTTTGGCTACACTCAGTTCAGCCAATGTTTGCTGAGCCCTACACCTGCCTTGTGGAAAGATCACACAGTTAAACCAATGCCTACACCAAAGGCAGAGTAAGGGCCATGTGATGAGAAAGGTAAAAGCCAAGGTCATGGGGCTCAGAGACCACAGGTTCCCAGGGTCAGGACGTCTTCACAGAGGCAGCAGACTAACAGAAAGCAGTGAGGACAGGGGCATTTGGGGCAGAGAGAACAGATGCGCAAAGGAGGGAAGCAGAGAGTGGAATATTCCAGAAATGGCAGGTAGACGGGGCTGCAGAGGTAGGGTGGGCAGGGTCTGGTGAGATAAAAGTTGTGAATTTTGGAATGAATGATTTGTACTTAATTGGGTAGACAACAGGGATCTATTGAAGGTTTCAGAGGAAGGGCATGACATTACCTGGGCGGGGACTAGAAGGGTTTCTAGATTTAGCTTCTATTCTGGGATCTCATGAAGGGCACCTGGCCCCGATTCTGAGCTCACGGGTTTCTCAGGGGTTCCCGACGGGGAGCAGACAATCAGCATCTCCAATGTCACCTTTTTGGTGAGGCCTGTCCTGATGACCGTATTTAATAATCAAACTCCCCAGGCCCTCCCAACCCCCTCTCCTTCCCTGTTTTTCCACTGGATTGATCTCCCACCACATTTTACCCATAGTTTATGCTGCTCATTGTCTGCCCTCACCCCCATTAGAACGAAGGCCCCATGAGGGCAGGGTCTATGTCTATTTGTCTTGCTGCTGAACGTTCTAGTGCTTAGCATACTGCCTAGAATCCCAACCTATTCATTCACTTGTTGCTTGAATAAAGGAGGCCACGCCACCCCGCACGAACCAGCACGGCCTACTGTGTTCCCTCTGTCACTGTGCTCCTGGCTCCCCGAGCTTAGCAGCACCGGAGTGCAAAATCTCTGCGAAAGCCAGACGGAGCCTTGCTTCTTCTGCACTGAGCCTGGCGCCCCTGCCAGGAGCCCGAGAGGATTTGGACTGCTCCCCCTCCCCTCCCCTGCCAAAGACACCACCACCTTCCTTCATCTCAGAGTGGAGGCCAAGTGAGGAGGTTTTCAACTAAGGAAAGCGAGAGGCTGGCAGGACTGAGGCAGCTGCGCCCAGCGGCTTGGAGGACACCTCTGATGAACGGAGCAGAATGGTGACAAGTGACACAATGCCGACCCCATGCAGGCACTGTACAGGTGGCGCCGGGGCACTTTGGTCCATTTGGGGCACTCATCAATTCAATGAAATGGGTACTGATCTCCCATTTTACAGATGGAAAAACTGAGGCTCAGAGAAGCTAACTGACATGGCTAAGGTCTCTGCACCCAGTGAGGAGCCTGGTTATGGACATGAGTCTGTCCTACTCTAACCCAGTGCCCGTTCTGTGGTGCAAGCCTCCCTTCTGCCAGGGAAGTGGTGAGGTGCAGGGTGGGGGACTTGCCAGGCTCTCTGACCAACGTGCCATGTCATGGGTGGTCTCTGCTGGCCTCAGGCTTCCCACCTGAGCTATGAGAGCTGCGGTTCTGGCCGCCTCCCAGGGATAGATGAGGGCAAAGACATCGTGTCCGCCACCGGGCCGGAAATCATCCGAGTGGGAGTTGTAACTGCGGTCACTGCCTGCTCTGGCCTGTGGCCGGGCATCCTCTCTCCACTCTGATGTGAACCAGGCGGGCTGGAGCCCAAATGGCATCCCCTGCATGTGAGGCCCCGGCAGATCCAAGGGAAACCAAATCTGCCCCCTGGGCAGATGCAGCGACAGAATCCAGGGCTAGGGAGGCAGAAGAGCCTGGATCAAGCCCCCACCTGGGGGGATGCAGGTGGCCATGCTTCCATTCCTTAGGGACTCGGTTCACCCTCTCTCAGCAAACACGACTGATCCCTTATTATATGCAAGGAAAAACGATAAAGCTTCTGCTTTTGAGGCCCTTTAAGGACAGGTTAGACACAGTCGGGGCACCTGGGTGGCTCAGTCGGTTGAGCATCCGACTTCAGCTCAGGTCATGATTTCATGGTTTGTGGGTTCAAGCCCCACATCGGGCTCTATGCTGACAGCCAGCTCAGAGCCTGGAGCCTGCTTTGGATTCTGTATCTCCCTCTCTCTCTGACCTGCCCCTGCTCACGCTGTCTCTCTCTCTCTCTCTCAGAAATAAATAAAACATTAAAAAAAATAAAAATTTTTTAAAAAAAGGACAGGTTAGACACAGTCACTGAATGGGCAATGGGGAGCCATGGATGATTTTGCAGTAGGGCAGAGAGATGACTGCCCTGCTTTAGGGAGGTTAACCAGGAAGCAGAGTGTGGCTTTTGTAATGACCAGAGCTAACATGAGTTAGGCACTCACCGAGTGCTGGATGGTGTTCCAAGCACTTTACAGATATGAACTCTAATCTCTACTTCACCCAGGGGACTGCCAGTGTCCTCACTTCACAGATGAAGAGACTGAGGCGTACACAGAGATCGCAAGGCTAGTGGCTCTGCACCCTCCTTGCTCCCAAGCCTGCGCTCTCCACCACTACTCACGGCTGCCTCTGGAGGCAATCTACACCAGAGGGTCAAGGGGCCAGGGCGGCCCGGGTGGTGGGAGCGGCCAGAAGGATGGAAGTGAACTCCTTGCCTGTGGCTAAGACTCGGTGACCTGGGAAGTGACCTGGGAAGCTCTCACAGGCCGGGCCAGGAAACTACAAGGGAGATGTGAACATCAAGTACTTTGATCTGCACAGGAAAGAACTATTATCTATGATCGCTTTTATTGACAATGGCAACAATCACAGTGTTCTTGGCCAATAGTTTACACCGCATCAGCTTCTTTGGTGGAAAAGAGATTTTAGAGACTCTCAGAGAGATCTTATCACTGTGAGAGCCTGTCTTGACTACCCAATCCTTTCTTGATTTTATTTGTTTGTTTGTTTATGTTTATTTCTTTTTGAGAGAAAGAGAGAGAGATAGAACACAAGGTGAGGAGGGGCAGAGAGAGAGGGAGACACAGAATCCAAAGCAGGCTCCAGGCTCTGAGCTGTCTCTGAGCTGTCAGCACAGAGCCTGATGCAGGGCTTGAACCCACGAACCGTGAGATCATGACCTGAGCCACCCAAGCACCCACCTCCTTGATTTTATTAACTTACTTAAATTAGGGAAAAGCCTCACTGCGATGCTAACTTGGCTTCAACGCTTTCTAACTTGGGATGTCTGATCACCACCAGTGTCCCTGTCATGAACGGGGATGAGTTGTTACAAGTCACTGCATAGGTGGAAGGAGAGGAAAGCGCAGGAGGGTCCTCCAGGCGGAGGCTGGGCAGGGAGAAAGGGGCTGAACCACGAAGGGCTGCCTGAGACCCAAGAGCTTTCTTGGCTGTTTTCATGGGATGACAGCTGGTTCCTTGGAGATGTTCAGCTACAACACTGTCAACAACACTCTTGATATTACGCTTGAGAGGTTAAAAGAGACTGAGGTTGGATTATATCTCTAAGATCCCTTCCAGCTCTAAGAGTCTACAGAGATACCATCTGTCGCAGTCCCCGTGTCTGGCTGCATTCTGGGCCTGTCCCAAACCGGGCTCAGCTGGGCAGGAGCCACGCGGGACCCAGCTAAGGGCTCAGCCTGGGGGCGTTTCTTCAGGCAGGGGAAGAAATGTGGCATCCTACCCGGAGCCAGAGGAGCCACTAGCCTTTGGTCCCTTTCCCAGCTTTAGGAGCCAAGGTCACCTGTGGCAGTGTTCTTCAGAGAGAGGGCTGGGTTTTCCTGCACCCCCATCACAGTGTGGGTTTAGGAGGGCTTATGGAGATCCTCCACCCAAGTACTGGCTGGAAAGCCACAGGCCACAGGCAGTGGGGGTCCGCAATCCTAAGCCCGAGAGAGAGAGAGCCGGCGCGAGAGTCTTAGCACCGCTGGGTGGGGTGGCTGTGAGGACACCTACCTGGCCCAGCAGGTGAGGTCTGTGGCTCAGGCAGATGGGTGGTCACGGGCCCTCCTTCCTCTGGATCGGTCCTCAGGTGCTTCTAAGCAGCCCAGCCTTGCCCCTGCTAGGTTCCGGACGACGAAGGCAGCTCCTCCAAGGCTCTGTAGCACAAGGACAGCAAAGCACTCTCAGGTCTCCCTGGCCTCCCCCAGGCTCCTCTCCCAGCCAGGTGACCTAGGCCCAATGTGCTCATCAGCATCTTCTCAGGAGGCCTGCCTCAGGGGAGTTCTCATGGGGTCAGGGGCACCCCAGGTGCAGCCATGACCCTCCCCGTCTGACCCCCAACTCCACATCCAGCTGTCCGTCCCTGAGGTGGTGAGCCAGGGAGCCATCCTTCACCCCAGGTGAGCACGAGCCTGGGGGGAGGGAGTCCATGGATGGAGCACTGTTCTAGGAGTCCAAGCACCGAAGCCTGCTGTGCCACTTCCCTCTTGGTGACTTGGAGCACCCCACTTTCCCACACTGGGGGGCTTCAGCCTAGATACCCAGACACTGACAGCAAGCACTGAGCTGGGGAGCTCATGGGGGGGGGGGCATAACCAGCAGAGGTTTCAAGTAGCATGGTAGGAGTCCCCTCTCCATGGACAGACTAGCCAGCCCCCCCCGCCCCGCCCCTCCCAGCAGCTCTGAAACCTCACTGCACCTCATTTCCTTTGGAGACATCTCTTGAGCCCTTCCAGGTTTAAAGTTACAAATGTAACAAGAGGAAAACCCACTGAGAAACAAATTTAAAAACAAAGTCCAGGGTGAGGCATTTAGATGGTAATTGCTTTCTTTTTCTTTGTAAATTCTTTTTTTTTTTAATTTTTTTTAATGTTTTTTATTTATTTCTAGGAGAGAGAGAGACAGCGTGAGCAGGGGAGGGTCAGAGAGAGAGGGAGTCACAGACTGAAACAGGCTCCAGGCTCTGAGCTGGCTGTCAGCACAGAGCCCGACGCGGGGCTCAAACCCACGAACCGCGAGATCATGACCTGAGCGAAAGTCGGACGCTTAACCGACTAAGCCACCCGGGCGCCCCTTTTTCTTTGTAAATTCTTGATAATAACATGCTTGTAGGGAACAAAAATCAAATGCACAGTGAAACGTCCCCCTGCGACCCCAAACCTCTGCTCCACTCCCAAACACAGCCACATTTCCTGCTGTGCATTTCTGCAAAAATGGTCCCATAAATACTGACAAATATATATGGATGCTTGCGTCTTTAGTTTAACCTCAGCCAGGAACACATTTCCGGTACTCCGTTTTGTTAACATACACCGCACGCCCCTGCGTACCAGCATAGACAGAGCCTTCACTTTTGTGGCAGCTCCTGTGTTCCACTGAAAAACACACTTATAATTTATGTGAATCCATCCCTGTTGATGGATGTTTAGGTTGTTTCTACCTTTTTGCTGCGTAAAGCTGCAAAAAACATCTTTGGTTGTACTCTTCGTGCCTAAGCGCGAGGTTAGCTGGGGGATAAATCCCTAGGGGTAAGCAGCCGAAGGTTAGGTGGACCTGAAATTCTGAGGGATGTTTCCAAATTGTCTTCCAAACAGGAAGAACCAGTTTGAACTGCCCAGCCATGCACAAGAATGCTCTTCCTCGGACCACTGTGCGCTATCAAGTTTTTAAAATTTGCCAGGGTGAGTGTTGAAAAATGACATCTTGTTTCCATGTGCAATTCTTTAATTATCAGAAAGGACAGACATTATTTTCAAATTTATTGATTGATTGGCCGTTGCATTTATTTTTCTGTGAACTGCCTATGTCCTTTCCAATGTATCTTACTGATTTTTAAAAGCTTTTCCTAAACTAAGGCAACTAATTAACTTTTTGTCATGTGTATTGCAAATTGTCATATTCTTTTTTTACTTTATTTATGCCGTCTTTTGCATAAACTTCCAGATTTTTCTGTAGTGAAAAGTATTTCTTACAAGAGCATTCTAAGAATATTCACCCATGTTTTCCACCAGTACTGTTAGGGTTTTCTTTCTTTTTAATCTTTCTTTCTTTTTAATCTTTTTTTTCCCTAGAATATATTTTGGTGTAAGGAGTGTAGTATGGCCCAGCTTTATTTCTTTCCCCCAAGGGGCTAGACAGTTGTCCCAAAGTCATATACGAATACTCTCTTCCCTCCCTCCACCTAGCCACCGTCCCTCTAAATTCAGAATCTCAATTTAACTATGCAGTAAGACGGATACAAAAGAGCATGACCTGAGTCAGGTGCTGGTTCAAATTCTAAGCTTCATTGGGTCTAAGAGAAGTTACCTAACCTTCCTGTGCCTTGGCGTCCGCATCTGAAAGTGGCAATAAAAACAGCAGCATCTAATGTGAGGATTAACTGAGTTATTTCAGGTAAAAGGTGCAAAAAAATGCAAGTAAGTGCTATCTATAAGAAACCCACCTCAGCTAGCTGTAAAGACACATATGGACCACAAGCAAAAGGATGGGCAATGACCTTGTCTGCAAATGGTCACCAAAAGGGAGGAGGGGTGGCCATACTTCCATCAGACAAGTAGGCTAAGGGTCTAACACTACAGCAGGACACAAAGAAGGATATTATATATTTATGTTAGGGTCAATTCTCCAGGGAGTTATAATAATTATAAATATCCATGCATCTCACAGCAGAGCACCCGAAGATGTGAAGCAGACAGACAGCATAGAAGGGAGAACGAGTAACTCAGTAACAATAGGAGAGTTTAATAAACCTCCTACTTTCAATAATGGGCAGAGTGACCAGCATAAGATCAATAAAGGAATAGAGGACTTGAGGGGCGCCTGGGTGGCTTAGTCGGTTAAGCGTCCAACTTTCGCTTAGGTCATGATCTCGCGGTTCGTGGGTTCGAGCCCCGCATCGGGCTCTGTGCTGACNTGGAGATATAAGATGAAGAGGATAGTCAGCTATGTCTTTAAAGGAAACAGAGCATTTAAAGAAAGGTCAGGTCAAAAGTAATTTGCCAAAACCAAGACAATTTTATAAAGATTAATTAGTTGTTTTAAACTGACCCAAGTAGGGGCGCCTGGGTGGCTTAGTCGGTTAAGTGTCCGACTTTCGCTTAGGTCATGATCTCGCGGTTCGTGGGTTCGAGCCCCGCATCGGGCTCTGTGCTGACAGCTAGCTCAGAGCCTGGAGCCTGTTTCAGATTCTGTGACTCCCTCTCTCTCTGACCCTCCCCTGCTCATGCTGTCTCTCTCTCTCCTAGAAATAAATAAAAAAATATATTAAAAAAAAAAAAAAGGAACAGAGGACTTGAATATATCCAACAACACAGACGGACTGGTCCCAGCACACACAGGCAGGGCACCCCACCCAACGGCAGCAGAACACACACTCTTCTCGAGTGCACACAGACTGTGCTTCAGCATTGGCCACGTGCGAGGCTACAGGTGAGGGGCGTCCGACGGCGTCTGGCATGTGGGAACCGCTCCATGTCAGCGAGTACTATGATCGCCGCTGTCTATCAGATGTGCGTGGGTCTTTGTCTGGACAAACTTCTGTTCCGTCGATCTGTGAGCCAGTGCCACCACTTGACAAATATTTATTACCATTGCCAGGCCCTATTCTAAGTGCTGGGGAACTGGGAATGAACGGCAGAAATAAGATCTGCTCTTGCCACCTCTGGTTAGAGTGACTTCTAATCATGTTTGGCACTTTTACTGATATTGTAAATGTTTCCTTCCATTATATTTCATAAGAGGCTAAAGTTCATATGTAATAGAGGTATAATTGTTGTCTTTAATATTTATTAGCAGTCATCTTACTATATTCCTTTATTATTTCTCCTAGGTTTTCAGTGGATGACCTTGTTCTTTTTTTTTTTCCTGCAGGTGGTCAATCTTATCATCTACAATTTTAATTGATAAATTGACCTCCTTTTATAACTCTTACTTTCAAAATTTGTATTGGATTGTACTTCTAGAGAACTATTAAAGAATGCTCAAGGTAATAGTGGTCATTTTTCCCTTGTATGTGTGTACACACACACATACACACACATGCATAAAATTATGTTAAGGAATATCCATTTATTCCTATTAAATAAGAGTTAAAATTGAGACCTTGAGTAGCCCAAGCAATCTAAGAAAGAAGAACAAGACTGAAGTTATCACAATTCCACATTTCAAGCTATATTATAAAGCTAAAAGAATCAAAACAGTATGGGACTGGCACAAAAATGAACATATTGATCAACGGAATAGAACAGGAAACCCAAAAATAAACCCCAAATTATAAGGCCATTTAAACTCTGGCAAAGAAGAAGTGACTATCCAATGGTAAATGATAGTTTCTTCAACAAATGGTGTTGGGAAAACCGCACAGCCACATGCAAAAGAATGAAACTGGACCACTTTCTTACACTATACACAAAAATAAATTCAAAATGGATTAAAGATCTAAATATGAGACCTGAAACCATAAAAATCCTTGAAGAGAGCACAGGCAGTAATCTCTCTGATATTAGCCACAGCAACATTTTTCTAAGTATGTCTCTTGAGGTAAGGGAAATAAAAGCAAAAATAAACTATGGGACTACATCAAAAATAAAGTTTCTGCACAGTAAAGGAAATAACCGACAAAACTAAAAGGCAACCTACTGAATGGGAGAAGGTATTTGCAAGTGACATATCCACTAAAAGGTTAGTATCCAAAATATGTACAGAACTCAACACCCCAAAAACAAATAATCCAATTAAAAAAATAAGTAGAAGTCATGAACAGACATTTCTCTAAAGATGACATACAGATGGCCAAAAGACACATGAAAAGATGCTCAACGTCACTCATCATCAGGGAAATGCAAATCAAAACTACAATGAGCTATCACCTCATACCTGTCAGAATGGCTAAAACCAATAATACAGTGTTGGTGAGGACGCAGAGAAAAAGGAACCCTCTTGCACTGCTGGTGGGAATGCAAACTGGTGCAGCCACTCTGAAAAACATTTAAAAAATTAAAAATAGAACTACACTATGATCCAGTAATTGCACTCCTTGGTATTTACCAAAACAAACAAACAAAAACCCAAAAACACTAATTCAAAGGGATACATGGACCCCTCTGTTTATTGCAGCATTATTTGCAATAGCCAAACTATTCAAGCAGTCCAAGTGTCA